TGTTAATCTTGGATTATCACAGGTATGATATTATATATTTAAGAAACTTCTTTGACTTCCTAGAAGACTGAATAAGTATAATACAATATTGTYTACTTTGCCTTATGTAAATTAAGACAAGCATGTATAGTGAATACAATAGAGCGGATTTCGTATGAGTTGGAAACGGACGGTACTGTACTGTAACCGTAATCGTACTGTAACCAAATTCTAGTGYCCCATTGGTTCACCAAAATTGTGCAGGCCAGGTCCGGTAACCGTGCGGTAATGGTGTCCCACTCATACGAAATCCGCTCTAAGTTCATATGACCTGTATTATTATCTGGGGTGCACTCTCATAAGAAATAAAAACGTCTTTATAAGAAATAGTGTGATGAAGGCTGTATGCCTTTGCATGAGTWGGCATTTACAAACCTGTATTTAATCCTCATTGTTGTGTTTGAAATATATATTTGAATTTGAATGTAATGTAGATCATGTCATTATAGTAACTTTCTTATCATGTTATTACAAGGTGGAATTAACTGGGAATAGTGTGTTCAACTACATACACCAAGAAGATCATCCTGATGTCTTAGAACAACTGACTAGTAGCTCAACAGATGATCCAGCAGAGGATAGCCAATTCCAGGGCATGCAGGGTTTTTTTTCATGTCAAGGCCAGCGCACTGATTCTTTGTTTAACCAGGGTAAGTGTACTGGAAGTATTGTTGCTTGAAAAGTMCTTGAAAATGATGAAAATTGCTAAAAATCCTGGAAAATCGCCTCTGARAAATCACCTCTGAACATCTGCAAAAATGTAACTTCACAAATAGTCCTTGAAAATCGCATTTTTGTGCTCAAAAAGTACTTGAAAGTCCTGGAATTTTGCACTAGTGAAAATGTAGCATGGACCCTGATAAAAGATGTTATATTGTACTTTAGTTATGTTCATCTTGCTAGAACTGTCTACTTTGTTGGTTTGTAAATGTTCTTTGTTTTAATAAACCTCTATCATTTTATAGGAGAAGAAATAGGACCTCCTAAAATTCTTCCACATCAGCCACGGTCATTCTTTGTCAGAATGAAGTGTACACTTGTCAGACGTGGAGGGTCTTATGCTAAATCAGCAGGGTTTAAGGTGAGTTGCTGAAGAATTCAATTTAGTGTATTCAATGTATATATCAAATGGTTGAAGTATAATCGAAAGATATTTCATAGGTAGCTGCTTTATATTTCAACTTTTTTAGAGAAGATCTCTGGCAAGCAATTTTGACAACTCTGATGTATTAACGTCATTGTCAGTATCAAAAAATAAAAAATAAAATAAAATAAAAAACTCTGATGTATTAACATCATTATAAGTATCAAAAAATGGAGAAAGAGGCTTGTTGGTGTTCTGAACAATAGATACCAATTAWAAAACCTCTCTCATTGAAACACAATGTAACATGTCCATCTTAATGGCAGCTGACGAACAGCAATGGGATTTCATTTTGTTAAATAATAACGTATTGTTTTAAGGTCGTGCATTGTGTTGGTCGTGTCAAGGAATATGCTTCGGACAAGAATGAAGCACCTAGAAGGGCGTTTGTGCTTCTTGCTCAGCCTGTTCCCACCATGAACATCAATGAACTTCCACTSGAGTGTAACATGTTTGTCAGTCGTGTCAACATGGACTTGAAAATCGTCTACTGCGAAGGAAGGTTCGYTATTAACATCTTCACATCTATTTCTCCTTGTAAATCCATGTTTTGTAAATAGCCTTTGTAAATATTCTGTAWATATTTTAGTAAATTTCCGTTTAGTCCTTTTGTCAAATTTTATATTTTTCTATCCTGCTGCAATTCAGCCAGAGGGTGTAAGGGTTTTTGAAATAAAGTATCTGTCTATATGTCTTGCTTAGCTAGTAGAGCGTTGTTAGCACGAAGCTGAAGGCTGTCTATTTCMCTAGTGCTACGCGGTTCATCTTTCACTTTATTGAATCATTTCCATTTGGATTTTGAAATTAGTATTACTCAATTTTCTGAATTTTTCCAGACGTTTTGCTAACAAGTAATGGTGATCTTTTCAGAATTCATCGTTTTATGGATTACCTTGCCAAGGATATTGTTGGTATTTCTGCGTATGATTTTTATCACGCTGGTGATGTGGCTCTCATACAAGGACATCATGCAAAATGTAAGCACTTTGATTTGATTTTACTTAATATTACACCTAACCTTTGTACATCCGTTCCCACCCCTCCCTCCCTGATGCTGTGATTAGGCGTCCCCAACCGTGTTCTGAAATATATTTGCATATTAATTTACGCATGCGACTTGCACCGTAACTACTTAAAACAATATGGCAGAGTTAAATGAGGAGTTTCCTCGAGTATCATTTTTTTTAATATTTCAAGTTTGCCCCCCCCCCCCCCCCCCCCCCCGAATTTTCCTCGCAGGAGGGAGTGGTGGGAACGGATGTACACAGGCTACATCACACCCAACATTCCCATTGATTTGATATAGATGGGTGTAAATATAGTTCAGTTATTTTGATCTTCTGTTTTATGCAGTCCTTTCTAAGGGTCAAGTATGGACGAAATATTACCGATGGATGAACAAAAATGGTGGGTGGGTTTGGATGCAGACGAAAGCGTCTCTTATTCCACATCCATCAAACCCTGCGTTGAAGCAAATGTTGTGTCTAAACTACATTCTCAGGTATTTTAGTAGTGAACTGGAATTTTAGTAGTTTTTATCTATAACGGCAATATGAAAATTGGATGAAAGGCAAAGAAGCAAAACAAAGGTTTATGTAAAAGCCTGTCGCGCATAAGGGATAATTTGTTCGTTATATGTCTGACAGGGATGAACTATACTTCGAAAACGTAACATAACCCACGGCTCCTTCACCCAATCTGCCACTTGTGTTGAAGGGCACGTACGTAGTTAACCCTATTATGTCAACTTATCTGAGCCCGGATATTTTTAAACTGCATATTCTTACGTTTGTTTACACAAAAACGCTCATAGTTTTCTTTTTAAAAATAGATAAACAAACAACAGATCAAAACGCATTCAAAAATATGCCAGACCATAAAGAAATGCATATYATCCCCATTTTGAAAAGCCATTAATGAGACCTGCCTTGACATACATCGACCAGTTGACAAGAGACACTTGATTGAATGTTGATGAGCTAAAGTTATACATGGCGGATAGAGTTAGATGGAGCAATCTAGTTAATGATAATAACTAACTAACTAATAAATTAATGTGAATCTTGATTTGTGGTTTGGTTATTGATTAGTGACGTCGAACATCGAAGTGTTGTTCTAGGAATGGCTCAATTGGACAATAAACCTGAACTCACATCGGCACCACCCAATATTCTGACAGAAGTGCCTTGTGATGGAGATAGTACTGGTGAACTCAATGATGCTCTCATTGATGACCAGGTCATGGTTTTTCCTAAATGGCAGGCCACGTGTAAGTAGGAAAAAAAAACACCTTTCCCGTCATCTCTCTGTATTCTGTTTTATGGTTATTCAGCTTTTCAGGGATCGAAGTAATGGCCAGAAACATACACATCATGACCTTTCTAGTATATTTTTGAGTAGACATAGTACCATCACCCCCACTCACCAACCCCTCCCCCGCACCTCAACTATAGAGCACGTCAACTTCATCCTTCGATACCTGATTTGGTCGCTCATGGGAAATTTTACTTGCCCTTATTTCCTTCAAGCCCTTATATTAGATTGATCGTCATTTGCAAACCTTTGTTTTCACAACGGTACTGTTTATCAACTTTGGCAATTAGGTTAGGAAGTTGCTCTTTATATCGGATTTATGTTTGCTGGCTTGTTGAATTGTGTTAATAAAGCTAAAGTCAAATAGTGTGCTTAATGTTACTTTTCTATTTCAGCTGACAAGCTCGTCCCTCAACAAACGCTACTCGACCAAATGGTGTTACAACGTACTGGATATACTCAACAATTCAACGAAGCTTTCAATAACTGGTCCAGTGAACATCAATCCATAGATCGAAAAGCCAGTCAGTCTGACGAAAGCCACGATCAAGACTTTGATGACAAGGAGCTTCAGGATATTGCAGACATCATCAATGCGGATGTCACTCCATTCGATCAGTCATTGTTTGATTTTGTTGTGTCCGGGAGCACTCCTTCATTAATGAACGTGCCATCTTCTCATCTAGGACCGATTGGTGGATATATCGAGGAGATACCCACAACATATGCCAGTACTACTTCGGTTGTCCCTAAGGAAGAAAAAAATTCAGTTAGCAACGATTATAGTTCCACTATGTCGTGTTCACARGGGAGGAARCGACCAGCGCCTGCAACTAGCTTTGGTTACGATGGCAACTCTGTTGACACTAGTGTTTCGTCTAAAGCTCCTCGTTTAAGCCACATGCAGGAAGGAACTACACCAAAGACAACCTCYCAATATCAAGATAATRCATGGAAAGTACCGTCTTCGACATCCACGACGTATTCAGCGTCAGGACGATATACAGGRACAAATCARTTAGCACAAACTGCAACTTCGACTACGACAAATCAAAGTATGAACTTTAGCCAGGKAGGTGCGAACAACATGAGCTCAAATCCTGGCCCTGGACTCAATACTTTCCAAATGAAAGCAACAATTTTTGCGAATCGTAAACCAAAGTCTCTTCTAGAACAACTTGTGATGATGCCAGGCACAGGTAAAGAAGATGATTTAATGGATGATGATTTAATGTTGGAGCTAGTAGAAGAGCTTATGGAGAGAGGCGCTGATGTAGACATGATGGACAATGTGACTTCTGTACAAGATAGTACAGTAGGTAGCAGTAGTAGTAGAAGCAACAATTTTGTAMCTTTCCAAAACATCAAACAAGAAGTTGTAACTCCAACGGCAACAAATGCACCTGTTCCGTTCTCAGAATGTATTCAGAACACGCCCAAACCGCCGATGAACTACCAACAGTTTGAGGGACTTTACCAAAGCAGTGCAAGTGACGGCTTACAGTCTGAGAGAAGGTCACAACAACRGAACATAAACATGCAGGATGGGGGGTCTGTAACTAGCCTTCGAAACACAACACAACAGCAACAATGGGTGCAACCTGAACGACTACAACACGCATGGCAAMARMAGCAGCAGCAGCAGCAACAACAAGGCAGTATGCCTCAGCAGTACCAAATACCTAACAACCAATTAAAACAAACATCTTCACAACAACAACGACAGCAACAACAACAGTCTCGCACACCATACAGCTTTACAGGCCCGACTCAACAACARCGACGACTGCAGCAACAGAGAACACCAGAACTTCAATCTATAGCAGAGCAAAGCCAGATTTTTCGAGAACTGAACGAACTTATAAAACAGAATAATAGCATGCAGCAGAAYACTCAGGGCATTKCAAACCAGAGAGTATTGATATCATCGGCTCCACTCCCTGAATTAAGCAGCGTTATTGACGAAGAACTCAACAGTCTCCCTGTTGACAATCAAATGAACTCTCTGAACTCTCAGAACTTTAACGGTAATGTTCCAGGAACAGGAAATCGTAATTTTACAGGTATGATGTAGCTAGAGGTCCTTAAGAAGGCATGTAAATACTGACTTATAGAATAAAAAAAGTGTAATTATGTACTTAATGATAAATCAAAAAAGTCTAAATTTGCAATAGATATGTAGGTTAAACCGTAGTTATTAGAAAGGTGAAATTATTATAATTTTTTGTTCTTTTTTGAACGACACATTTAACCAAGTGTACAAATATTATTCAATTCCACAAAACATTAACAGCTTAAACACTTTTTCATGTTTAGTATGTCTTTAGCTTTGCTAGTGTTTTAAGCGCAAACTCATTCAGTATACGATTACAAGTATGCACTAAGTGTGTTGCCATTCGTTTCGTTATATAGATAGTCGAATTCCACATGTGCTGAAGTCAATCCATGAATCAAACCGAGGTGAAATTTGAAAGAATAATTATCAACAGCTCTTAGTTGAGTACGATTTCTGTTCAAATTTAGGATGAAAAAAACAACAAAACAAATAAGTTTACAACTGGATTGTTAAATAGCCTTCGTTRCCGTCGGTCAGCGGGTTTGAGGCTTGACTTCCGAAGACCGTAAAGTTTTTGAAACACATTTGAGAAATTTGAAAAATATTGCGGAGCAAGRAACACTTCTTATCTTATCTGGAATTGGTAGTCTTTACTTTTGTCCTTATTGAGTAAGGACAGCTATCCAATAGAATTAGTATAATGTTTTATTTTATAGTTTTTATAAGGGTTTTTTTAGCGGCATAAAATTCTCGTGTTATTTTGCACTATTTGTGAGAGCTTCCCTCTGATTTTCGTGTATTTTAGAACTGGTCAGGAAAAYATCGATTTTTGTAAAAGCGTCGATAATTTTTCCATTCTTATCCACTGATTTCAATGCGCTTGAATAAAATCGGGTATTAGAGTATCTATCTATATTAGCATTTGTCAAAACATTAGTTGCGCAATAGAATTAGTTGCCTCCACTTTTTTATCATTTTCTTCTTCATGAAAAACATTTAAGGAACTGTCACTCAGTAAGCTTTGTTGTCTTTGCTCAAACCGTCTCGAGAATTATAAAACTTTACATGATATAGAGTGCAGTCACTATTCAGCATTCTGTTAATRGTACAAAGTCTGGCCTTTGCACCTAACCCGTGAAATAGTATAGTATAATAATAGACAAAATGAAAAAGGARTGGCTATCGTAAGGCCTTGGTTCACGAGTTACAGCCGGTGTAATATATCATTGCTACTCGTTAAAAGACCATGTTAGAATATGAAAATTTGAATGCTCCGTTAGTGGTTCACGGGTTAAGTGTACCGACTTAATTAATGAACTGTAATCAGTTAATAGTCAATAATCTATAAAGGATCCGTGTAATCGATTCTATCCAAAACGATCAGAGTCATCGTTACCCGTCATTTCACTTTTCTTATTTTGAAAAATATATCTTTATACATAGTTAATATGCTTTATATTACTCACAAAAACTGGCTTTTAAGAATCTAAACATTCTCTCTGAATCGATAAATATTATTGACGGATGATAGCTGTCTGTGGCCTTTTACTTTCTTTGCAAGGMCACTCACTTGTATGTTTAGGCATGCGTAGTACGATCTTATATGTTTTTTTGAACATACCACATGGCTCAATGCYCAAAGTCACTTGWATRTCACACAAAGAAGTTAAGATCGGRCCAAATGAGAAGTGTCTGATCCAAAAACTATTGTTTGGCGAAACAACGTTGGATCAGCAAACAAAATGTTGTATGGCCTAACAAACGCCATCCAACATGTTTGGCGCTCCACCTTGCACTATCAAACAAGTTACCCAAATGGCAAAGGGTTGGTCAACCCAATGATGTTTCTAGTGAGCATTTCTCGTTTGACCGGAACTTAACTACAAGGTTCATTAACAGTATACCGAAATGTAATCATTAATAATTACAATATTAATCATTATTAATGACAACAAGAGTTTGTACTGCTCTCTAAAAAAGTAAAAGTAACAAAATAAACTTCTATACTCAATAATAGTCTGTCGCTATGTATATATTTATTATTATTATTATTATTATTATTTTACACAAACATGGCTGACATCTCCTTTGCTCTCCTTTTCTCGTGCCTTATTCGCGCTAATTTTCGCTTTCTTTTGTTTCGCGATTTGTAGAAAATCGTGAAGTTAATGAACGGCAAAAACGTTCATAAATTAAAAGCATTTATATATTAAGCATGAAAAAAACGCGAAAATAAATGCCCGCGAAATAAGCCTGTGTTTGGAAGTGCCCGCGAAAATTAGTACGGGGATAAAGTTGGATTTGTAGTCATGTGACTGCAAACCAAGAATAGCTCCTTTGAAGGTCAGATGTTATGTGCATAATACAAATATCAATTTATCAACGGGAAAGCCTTTTTCGTCTYTATAAAAATAGATGATAATCATTTTATTATTTGATCTATGATCTTATCTTCTAGTGCTTCTTGAATTACAGCACGCATACCAATACTATAAGGTCCTCAATAAAGCCGYCTAGAACCTCCCGCAGACATTTTTATTGCATGTCGGGTCACCTTCTCGATCGGCTTGTAGAATTGTAACATCCTTGACTAATATCTTATCTTCATTTGAGAGTTTCTATCATTAAAGCCAACGCTATTTTGTCATGCATAAAACCCTCTACTTGTAACTTCATTGGCTTTGGTATCACTTTAAAACTCTTTGATGATTGGTTTGATAGGAAAGTGTGCTCGTTTTGGCACTGGAGGCGCTTGTACCTTGATATCMGCCACCGCGGGAATATTAATACTGCTGTTGAATACAACTTGCACTGGTTTTGATTTCTGTGGCCKTGGTTGAACAATTTGTTTTCGGGGAAATATCGGGCTGGCGAGACCWGCRTTCACAGTGTTTGAAGAARGTGCATTTGAGACCTCCCTTTGACGGGAATATACACTTGCTTCTTTCTCAAAAATGACAGCTTTTTTCTTCGCTGCGTCGAGTTCCAGTTGAAGGGATTGGATCYTTTGCTCGGCGATTTCGCGATAATCCTGCAAGTCGATTTGAGTGTAYAAATTGTGATGTTTAAAAACTTTCCAGTCGATTTGTTTTGTTCGGCGTAGGCATTCTTCTCTTAAAGARGGCAAGTTGTACTTWGAGGCCAATACAAGCAAGTCTACAACCTCGCTGCTCGAGTTAAGGGTGCTCAGGAGATATTCCTCGCATTTTTCTRTGACTTTAGTCATTTCAAATTGTTTGGCCAACTCGAGGAAAAAGTAACAGTTTCCTTCCGTTATGGGTTTAGCAGTTGGRTAGATGMACAAGAGAAGTTGTCGAATTTCKTCAGGTTTTTGGTTCTCTAGCGTCAAAACTTTTGAGTTTTTTCTTCTCAACTCTGCAAACATRTTTTCAAGGACTGGCGACCACATGGCTAGAACTCCAGTATGTACATGAAAGCGCATATCTTCTACAAGTAAAACCACATCACTAACTTTCCAAGGCTGTGAGAAATCAGGCTCTTCTTTAAGCGCCATTGCCCATCAGATGAAAAAGACGCTTGCCGTTTCTTATGTATTCTTTATAACTTCGAACTGCAATCGATTCCGTTTTGGCCCAGTTTTAAAGCAATTTCTTTCCTAATATTTGACCTTAMAATAAAGCTACTGATGTCAAAAGTACAGAGCAAAAGAATACTTCGAATACCGTTTAGCTCTCATTCCGAATATGGCACAGCAGTTGGARTCATTTAGCATACCAGTCAAACCAAAGCTCATCTTTCCCAAACTGTCATCAATACACGCAAATATCAAACATAGCAATAAAAAACTGTGATTGACGATATACATGATCGACCTTTTGTAAACGAGCCCGGCGAGGTTGTTGCACACGTTGCTTTTGATGTTTTTTACCTCGCCCTCTCTCACGATATAGCAGGCGCGTAGCCATAGGACGCCCAACTATTGCTTTAGAGASAGTAAAGAACGATTGCGCACGCTTTTATTTATGTGTATGTTCAGAATATAGCAAATGCGGACTACCTGTGTTATTACGTGAGTGACTGGTGTGTCGACCCGCGAGGCACGGGATCGTGACGTAATAATACAGGTAGTCCGCATTTGCTAAGAGAGCGTGCCGATAACATATACATAAATAAAAGCGTGCGCAATCGTTTACTGTCCCTAAAGCAATAGTAGGGCGGCCTATGGCGTATCGTGGACTTTTTGTCTAGTACGCACATGTCATAGAACGCGACACATATTATGGATTGGGGGGCTAGCGACCACGGAAGGCGGTAGTATTAAGTGGGATCTTGGGGTCCTCCCGAGGAAATTTTGAAATAATATAACTCTTGGAAATGCGATTTCCAGCGTTTTGAGGTTCTTTTTGATGACAAAGCCTTGGTTGGAGAAAGCAAGCAAAGAATATTAGATAAAAAAAATCCCGAATATTGTTATATAATTTCCTTGCCACTAGTACGTACGTGCGCGTATATGCGTAGGACGCTACGCACCTCATAGCTTTTCGGTCACAAACGAACGACCTTCGACACTCGCACACTGTTTGTGTGCCAAAGAAATTGTATCAGCAACATAAAACAATTAAATACATATTGTATTGAAATAAGGTCTTTAGTACACAAGCAATTAATTTTTTTTTTCGCGATGCATTGTTTGACCGTAAGGTATAAATCACAGTAGAAGGACTAAGTGCAGTGCACAGTGAAAATTTGAAACAGTTTTTGCGTAAGTTCATGGCCTTTTATTTTTATTTTGTTTTTGTTTGATGATTTATTACTTTTCCCTGTGTATCTATTGCCTAGGTGTTCCATCAGACTGCAGTGGAGCTATGCCAAATAGCTTTGCAGGCGCTTTGAGCGTCCTTTACGCATATACGCACGTGCGTATAGTGGCAAGGAAATGTTAAACCTTTCACAAAAATTACTGAAAAACTCATATAACATTGATCCCTTTTATATGCCCTCGATGTCTCTCAACGACACTGGAAATCGCATTTCCAAGAGTTATTATTATTTCAAAACCTCCTGGGGGAGGTCCAGACTCCCTTAATACTCCCGCCTTTGGCGGTCGTTAGACCCCCAGATCCAAAAAATGTGTATCGCGGTCCCTGACATATGCGTACTAGCCAAAAACTCCACGCTACGCTCTTGCTTTTCCAGCTACACTGTCCTCTTACCTAGGGATGGCCCTATGCCTTCGAAGGTTACTGATGATCGTCGTACCTTGATGGTCTTTTAGGGTCAAAATAAGTGATTTTCAGTGATGATTGGTACTCTGGTTCGTTTTGATGTGTAATACCATACATAGTATGCTGGGTTCATATGATCATTGTTTTCTAGTTCAACACTGAATAGTTACTGTTACCCATGGCTGAAAGATATGTAAGAATTGTAACAGCGGCCTCGCGAAATTTAATCTTTCATCTTTAATTAATAATATTTGAAAGGTTAAAAAATAGTACTTGAATTGAAGCTATATTACTATACTCTATACTATAGGTGAAAACGTGTTGCCACGCCCACTTGGTTAAGATTCGAGTCATTTTCAGGCATCGTCAAAATTTTCCGATGTGCATCAATTAATCACACATTCCACTGTCTGACGTTATCTATGTGTTCATCAGTTATCATGGTTATACCATATATTGTTTTGAGGGTCTGTTAGTGAAAGCTATAGGATTTTAATTATAAAACTCTGGCCGTGCGTATATGAAAATGTTTTGGACAAAAGGTTAACGTTTACTATACCATTTCGTCGTTTTTATCGGCGAATGACGTATCAAAATATCAAGCACTGCGTTTGAAATTTACAATACGTACTGATTATCTTATATATTCCGGGTTTCCGGATACGATTTGATGGATCAAGACTAAAAGTGCTTAATGCTCTTGTAAAGCTCTCAACAACAACGCTTTTCAATCCGTACGAAACCACTTTCAAATAAATGCAGTGAAAATATCAAAAAAGAACTTAAGATATTCTTCGTTTTCACTATACGTCACAGCGGCCATCTTGGAGGAACTTCAGCAAAGGATTTTTCATTAGTATCTATCTACTGTGGGCAAAAACTATGCCGCTAAAATACCTCATTCCAAGACAGACTTTACGGAATATTTAAAAGATATTGATCAATGTAATTCAATGTTTTTCAAGCCTGTGGTGGCTTCCGAAATAGACGACATAATTAATTCGCTTTCCAATAACAAAACTTATGGTCTATATTCTTGTCCAACAACTTTTTTAAAAGCTGCTAAATTTTTTCTAARTGAACATCTTGCGAAACTAATGAATTTGTCGGTTCAAACAGGTAAATATCCAACTAAACTTAAAATTTCAAAAATTTGTCCCATTTACAAATCTGAGGATGAATCTGAACCTAGTAACTATAGACCTATTTCGTTGCTCTCGGTGTTTAATAAAATTTTTGAAAAAACAATGTACAATAGATTAATTAGTTTCATAGAAAAAAATAATATTCTTTCTGACATGCAATATGGCTTTAGAAAAAACCATTCTACTCAACACGCTCTTCTTGATATAATTAGTAAAATTCAATATAATATGGATCATAAATCTTACACATGCGCAGTTTTTATTGATCTATAGCTAAAGCATTCGATACTGTTGATCATTTTATCCTTATGAAAAAAATGGACAGATATGGTATAAGAGGGTGTGTGCATAATTGGTTTAATTCTTATTTATCTAAAAGAACCCAAACAACTAGCATTAACAATTTTATTTCAAATAAAGAGGAGATAAACTTCGGTGTTCCTCAGGGTTCTATCGTAGGCCCTATTTTGTTCCTACTTTATATAAATGACATTTGCAAATCTTCTAATAATCTAAAATTTCACCTTTTTGCAGACGATACTAATATTCTTTACTCAAGCAATTGTTTAAAAACCATTGAAAGAGAAATGAACAATGAACTGAGGTCAGTATTTTTTCAGAACTCTACACAAAGCGCCATTCCTCTTTTCATCGAAACTGAAATATTACCGGTGAAATCACTTTACATTTACTCCGTAGCACAATTGATGTACGATGTCAATCATAATAACATTCCTAGCAATGTTAGTAATCTTTTTACTTATGTTAAAGACATTCATTCACACAATACTAGATCTTCAGCTAGAGATAATTTTTACACTAGCTATTCACGTTTAAATACACAGGCCAATTCTTTCTCACGAGTAGGTGTACATATCTGGAACCAGATCCCAGCCACTACTAAAAAATTTTTAAAAAAAAGCTTCCAAAAGGAAATTAAGTCAAACTTATTAAACGATCTGAATATTAATCATTATGATATTGATATCACTAAGATATTTAAATAACTCTCTGAATTCTTTTAGTTCGTTAATATTGTTGTCGTTTTTTTCTTCTTTTTCTTTCTTGTTTCAAATTATTCTGTATTCAAATTTAATTCTCCAATTTACAATAGATACGTCTAAAACATTATTATAGTTTTTCTCTTCTGAACTTGAAATTTTAATAATACTTATTAAAGAGCTTCATAATTCGAATAGTTATTTAACTTTTCTACTTTATTTAACCTGCCTAGACTAGCTTTAGCTAATTGCAGGTTAGACTTGTAATTATTATTATTTGAAGTAATAAACTATCTGTTATCTGTTATCTGTTCATTCCTCCAACATGGCCGCCGGTCTTTTATTTTTTGAATCTCATATGGAATGGTTGAAAATAATCCGATAACGAAAGCAGGGGTGTATCGTATCCATGCACAAGAACAGTATAAAATACACTTCGTTGAAATGACGTTATTGTGTCGCAAAAGATATCATCGAAACTAATACCGAAGAGGATTTTACTTCCTTCATTTTCCTACGGAAGTACTCGTGGAGAAAGTAATGGGCATTCAAGCACTACAGTTCAACTCACATTTGCTTTCACATCCCCCCTCCCCCCAACTACATTTTTTTTCAATTAGGTGTAAACAAACTTTCAGGATTATCAAAGAGTTGTAAACGATCAACTTGCCGCTCCATTTCAAAAATTTATATGCATCTTGCAAATAAGTAAATATATGCATCTTGCAAATTCAAAGTTTACAGACTTAATCAATTCAACAAGTTTTCCTGTAAAATACACAGAATCAGTGTTTGAGTTGATTTATTGGAAACACCTGAGTACAGTTAAAGGCATTAAACTCTATTTCTCTACCAGCATTAGATATTCTACTGACTTGGTGTTACCAAGATGTTAACACCATCTTGGTATTGCCAGSCAGAGAATATCTTTGTTGTATTGTATATAAAATCAATAACTAATGAAATGTGGCCTCTGCATTGTAGGTGGCAAAGCATGTGACAAGCTTTCATGGTAATGATAATTAATTCTATTTGGGTWCTGYGGGAACACCCACATTATCTAACAAAATATGGCTATTTTTATATTTTTCAATCCCTACAGTTTAAGGTGAGACATGAATAAAAAAGGGCCTGTGTGACTGGTGAACCCTAAACAGATAGTTACATTGAATATCAAGAAAGATAAGGTACTGATTTACAATAGAGTCTACACATAAGTAGTTAATATTACAGTGCAATACAGAGAAAGGTGGTTTTACATATACATTTCCCATTGTGTATCGACATGCCTTGATATTGTGACATTTCTTTACAAGATTGGTACTAAATGTTCTTCATTATCTGTTTAAAATCATGTGTTCATGGTATTTGAAAAGAAAGAAAGTCATTTACAACAGCCTGAAGATGATTGTTGGTTGGTTTCTTGAAGGTCCACTCCTCTCTGGCGCTGGGCAGCCTGTGGTCCACCCTGAGTGTTGTCACTCTTAGGTAATTTCTTGGCTGTGAACACAAATTCATGTCAGTAATCATGTGATTTTGAGAAACTGTCTTAATAGAGGTTTTCCGCATATAGTGGTTGTGAGGAGATGGGTGTTTAGAAAATTCTTTCATACACATACCTATGGCCAAGAAGATATCATTGACATTCATTGCAGTCTTGGCTGATGTCTCCATGAATAACAGGCCATTTTCTTCAGCATATGTTTGTGCTTCCTGGTAAACAATAGAAGAGTTTAAAAGAGTCAAAAGAGTTCCAAAAAGAAGRATGTACTAAAGAGGCATGAAAATGTAAACTTTAATAATAGGCGATATGCATTATGGCATCATTTACTACAACTACAGGAATGCTTTGCCAACTTTCTTTTGTAATGCAATTAGTTCCAGTGGGGATAAAAAATCTGAATAACAATGAAAATGCGCAAGGCTCTCTGGTAGTTGTAATAAAGTTACATCATAATGCAAACAACCTATTCTTATTTATTGGCCATTGATTTTATAAATAAGTCAAAATACCAAAAGTTAGCATGTTGAGGGTTGATTCAATTGATTTTCTAAATCTTTGCAATAGTAAGTAAAGATATATTTTAACAATGACAGGGGTTTCAATAACAGGCTGCTAACAGCAGTATGGCTCTGTCTATTTTGCCTCTTACTGCCTGTTATTTTGTTTCTTACTTAATATAAATGATTGTAAATTGTTTGGGAAYACAGACATCTACTTCAATCACTCAGAAATATGACATTTCATTTCACAATGATGATTATTGCAGRAGAAACTTATACATGTAGCTAAAGTTGCTATGATTTTAATTAAGTATGAAAAAGAACTAAAAGAACTTCAAACCTCTTCACATTTATTAATTGTTGTTCTTATTGTTTCTTTGTTGTGTGTTTTTTTTTTGTTGTTGTTGCATATACAATAATTGTATCATATTATTCACAAACTTGAACTGAAATCTCACCTCATAATCCACCATTCGTTTACTGGATAAATCAGCTTTATTCCCTGAGAGYGCAATCACAATATTTGGGCTGGCCTGTCTCTGTAATTCTTTGACCCAAGTCTTTGCTCTCCCAAAAGTGTCCTGGTTGGTAATATCATACACAACAATAGCTGCTTGYGCCCCTCTGTAGTACATGGGTGCTAAGCTGTGGTATCGTTCCTGTCCAGCTGTATCCCAGATTTCAAACTTTACCGTTGTGTCATCCAAACACACAGTCTGTGTTAAAAATGCAGCTGAAAAAGATGAAAAATGAGGTTAAAAAAAATGAAGACAATGGGCATGAAGGCAACTTATAGCTAGTGAGGGATTATGAGGGATTATTACTAATACTTTATTTAAGGAATAAAAGACGAAATTCCGTGTTTGATACTCTGATCAAAACACGAAATTTCGTCTTTTATTTCTTTTCTAAAATTAAAAGAAAAAAAGAAATTTTTGACGCGCGCGAGCGTGTTTTGATACTGTAATCAAACATGGTTTTCGACCAATCACAGCGCGCGTAGTATCCTAAATATTTTAGAAAAATAATTTGTCACCATGATATCACATATTATAACAATGATAATTGATGATATCCTAATCTTACCTCATTAAAATGGTAGACAATTTACATAACAACTGCTCTATCAGTACTAACTACATACAACCTTCTGCTCATGCAGTTATACAGAAGAAAAAAAATCCATTGGTGAAAAACGTCTCAGTGAGAAACAATATTGTTATTTACTTTTTCAAAACAGTCCTTAAGCCTATGTGTTTTTGTCTCTAAAATCACTCTTTTGTCTATGCACATCTAAAGGTTACAGAGGGTGCTGAATATTSATGGCAATGTTCAGACAGACAGTCAACACAGTTCTTTCCACTCAAAAGTCYTCAATCACACTATGTCATGTTTGAAATACTTGATAAATATGAAACCAAAATGAAGTACCAAATGGACACAATATAGTGATAAAGATGCAAAGTTTCAAAAATATAGCTTATCAAATTTATTTATTTATTTAATTTAAAGATATGAATTGTTTAAGTTGCATTTTATCATGAGTCTCCCTAGGCAYGGATTGACGGCTACCATGCATTTCTTTGCAAAAATACAAAGTTTTGAAAATTTGTATTTTCGCCTATTTAATTTTGAACTATCTCTTTGAAACTTTATCAAATTCATCATCATTTATGTGACAAACTTGACACTGGATTCTTTTTCCATTTGATTGAGTGTTCTAAAGTTCATGCTAGTKTGTTATTGCATTTAAATTATGATCATCTACAAAGCCTACCTCCAATGGTGCTTTCTTGATATTCATGAAACTGTCCTTTTACAAATCGTAACACCAAGCTTGACTTACCAACAGCTGATTCTCCTAAACAACAATAATAAAATGTATATTGTTACAATAAGATTGGACRTAGTATGACGCTGCAATGGCATGGATCACGACATGAACAACAGAGAAMRAGAACAGAACATTCATTACATGCCATTCCATTTTTTGTATATTTTTTTACATCTAATGAAATCTATCCAATACACAAAATAGAATTGCAATTCAATCAGCACATGTAAGTTCACAACAGCTTTCAATATTGGTTTTCACTAGTACATTATCACGCTCTCACTTTCTGACAATGGTTCACACGAATTGAAGAAATACCAAATTACCTACCTAATAACACAAGCTTAAACTGACATATTTTTCCAACTGCTGACCCATTAGGGCGTTGTGGTGGACCTCGTGCAGCCATGTATCGCTAGAATAAAGGTGACCGGAGGTCGTGGTAAGACACTTTCCGCTGTACAATAATTTCTTTGTATCTACATATGGTAAGCAATACAAAACGTCAAACTGAAGTTATTCTTTATTATGTCCTAAAGCAAGTTGCATGCATGTACAGTAGCACAATCATGTAGCTGATGAAAATATGTCAATAATCCAGTCTGTCTTTACAATGAGACTCTAAAGTAAGCGAAGAAAAGGAATTACAGCCATTTTGCCACAAATTTTCAAGCTTTCAATCGGAGTGCACCAAAGTGAATCTGGTTTCAAAGTTCCTACTGCACCACATTGGTAGGGGTAATTGCTACACCCATCACTACTTTACCCCAGCAATGTTGGTACTATTTTTATGCCTAGGTTTACTAGGGCCAACAAAAGTGAAAGATATCTTGGAACATGACGTCACCATCTACATTTACGAATCTAACAMCTGCAGCTTATGATGGAATGATTTAAGAGAAACCGGGAAAAAGTGGAAATACTAAAAYTAAYTTTAGGTCCTTTGTTTTGAACAAATATTTCAGAAAAGGTGTACAGTAGCTTGTCTGCTGGAAAATGATTTTTGAAAATCAAGGCATGAATGAAAATTCTAATGGCTGGATGCCAATTTATCTGTATTCCTTGTTAACTGAAAGTTTGATATTGCTCATTTTGGCATAAATATTGTTTAATAGCTGTATTTGACAAACCCACAAACATAATTGCAATTCACAGTGTTAAGATCAAATTTGCTAAGAAAGTTTTTTTTTGAATTTGAAGATAGTACAAGCAGAGCTTAAGTCCATGGATCCATTATCATATCAAATATCAAAATAAAGGCAAAAATTACATAAAATGATGAATAATTGATAATTTTCATAGAGAACTTCAATGTATGATAGCCATTTTTTACATCAGAACTATGAACATATATTGCTGGGTCACACTGTAGACTCTGACTTTGACACATTTGAACAAGGACTGTAAAGTTCTGAAAAAACAGCTTGGATTCCACAATGTTGCAGAAATCTAAGGATTTGGGAATGCCACGTTCTGGTCATTTGAAAATATTGTTAGTTTGCTCACATATCATATTTCATAAATAATAATAATAAATTGCCATTTACACAACAAAACTAATTTTGACACAATCAACACACAAAAGAAAGAGAATTGTTAAGATTGTCAAAATTACTAAATAATCAACACAAGAACTTTGTAATTATTGTAAAACTGGTCGACGGAAGTGAATAAGATTGAAGACTTCAAGATTTTTTAAGACATTTTTTAAGGAATAAGATCAATTGATGCTTTAAAAACATTATTGCCCCATGATATTTAACAGTCAGAGATGGACGTAAGCATTTTTCGTACTGGAATTTAGCAAGAAATACAAACAAATATGAAAGATTTCCGTGAAGTTGTTGTGGGCGAGATTCTAATATGAAGCAATCGTTTGGAACCAAACGTTTTCACTGGAACAGCTCCTTCTGCCGTAAACCAGGACGTCAGAGACAATCAACATTCAAGAAAATATAAAAGTACAATGACAAGACTTCTAATGGGAAAAATATAGTTAAAAAGTGTCTGACTGCATCAGAATAAGTGACTTCTGCGGAAATTCTATTCCTACGAATGATCTAAATTTGCAAACTTCGTTGTAATACTTTCACAATAAGACGAATTTCGACAAATATTTCACAATTATCGAAGACTAATCTCATTATTTATACTCATAGCTATGTGATACCATCGAATGACGGTGCAAAAGCCACTAGAATCCTTGTAAATCGAAATATATACAATACACTACAGTCTCGTGAGATACAAGATGGCGCCGACTGATGTGGAAATGCGTAATAAGAGAACTCAACAAAACAGCTCTTAAAAACACAACTCTCCCTGAACAAACCCTGCGATATCTAATATACGTTATAGATTGATATAAAATATACCTTTTATAGAAGTTCAAGATGTTTAAATAGTCGTAATTTGGAGATATTTTGAAATTTTTGTCGGTGTTCAGACTCGGTGTTCAGTGACAATAGCCGCGTGACCATCCACCCCTGAAAAACACTGTATTACATGACAAACCCCACAGATAACCTGAAACCCATTACGTCATACTTAATTTCATTTTATGCCACAGGGTAACCGGTTAAATCAGGAAAAAGAAGCTAACGGCTAAAAGGAGCTAAAAGAGATTCACAACTCATTTAGAGAATTTACACCAGCTAATGGGATTGGCTATTGCTACAATTTTTGCATGAAAAGTGTGATAACCAGAGTCTGCTGACAAACTAATAAAAAGAAATATATGGTTGTTGCAGCTAATATAAAGAAGAACGAATATAAATCCATGAGTTGAGTTGCACAATATAGACTAATATCATCACATCGGAAACCGAGCGGGATCATAAACACGACGTAATACCACAGGTAATCCACAAAGTGCGCGTGCCGATGCGATAAAAGCTAGCGTGTTCATTCTTTTCTCACAAGCAACAATAGTTGGCTGGCCCACGAATATCATGTGTTGCTGAAGCGCATAATAGAAATCTTGAAGAATCGTATATTTCAATATTTTTGTCCAAGCATCATATGAAATTTTCCAAAATGGATTGTACGCAAATGTTATGCTTCACCTTTACAAGTAAGCAGAGCTTTTGTTTTTATGGTGATAAATACGTGCACTCTTCATACTTGATAAATCCTGCGTCTGACAGGCTCACCTCTGGTTACCTTTGCGTATCGTGTTGTGGKTCTTCTGTGTCGATATTTGATCGAGAAAGACTTGATTCTAAAATGATTAGCGCTGGCCAAGAAAAACGGAGGCTCGGGCACTCGGGAGTATACGGAAGCCCAGAAGGGCCACCGGCAAGTTAAAAAACGTGGCGTACATTTGAGACATGATGGCAAACTTAATCCGTTGGTGACAAACTAAATGACAGCATGGCAAACTTAATCTTAAGGTGGCAAACCATTTTTACGCTGGCAAACATACAACTTTGACGGCAAACTTAATTTTTTGATGGCAAATGTAATTCGGCGGATCGGCAACTTTTATTTTATGATGACAAATATTGTTCTTTTGTACGGCAAACTAATTTGTCAACGGCAAACTAATTCTATAGACGTCAAGTTTAACTTTGTGACGGCAAATATAAATTCTTTAGAAGTCAAACATAAATTTGTTCCGGCAAACTAATTCTGTGGACGGCAAATTAATTCGGTAGACGGCAAACTAATTTTGGAGACGGCAGAGTAATTCTGTGGGATGGCAAACTAATATTGGAGCCGGATGGCAAACTAATTTTGGAGACGGCAAACTAATTCTGTGGACGGCAAACTAATTCTGATTCTGTAGCGGTCAAACTAATTCTGTAGACGGCAAACTAATTCTGTAGACGGCATAATAATTCTGTAGACGGCAAACTAATTCTGTAGAGGGCAAACTAATATTGGAGATGGCAAACTAATTCTGTTGACGGCAAACTAATTCTGTGGACGGCAAACCAATTCTGTAGACGGCAAACTAAATTTTGTAGACGGCAAACTAATTCTGTGGACGGCAAACCAATTCTGTAGACGGCAAACTAATTTTGTAGACGGCAAACTAATTCTGTGGACGGCAAACTAATTCTGTAGACGGCAAACTAATTCTGTAGACGGCAAACCAATTCTGTAGACTGCAAACTAATTTTGTAGACGGCAAACTAATTATGGAGACGGCAAACTAATTATTGAGACGGCAAACTAATTCTACGTAGACGGCAAACTAATTTTGGAAAAAAATTTGGTGGGCTATATATAGTCCATGCATCACGACCATTTTTGGGCATTTTGGTGGGCTATACTTATAGCCCATGAATTTTGATCAAAAATCTACCATTTTTTCCATTCTGGTGGGCTATAGCCAATGCATTTTGATCAAAAATAGTCCACCAAAATTAGCAAAACTGGGTCGATTTTCGATCAAAATGCATTACCTTTAGCCCACCAAAACGGAAAAAAATTGTCGATTTTTGATCAAAATACATGGGCTATAGCACACTAAAATGCA